TTTCTATTTTGAGATACAATCCTGCTAGGTTGCATGAGCTGGCTTCAAACTTGTGTTCCTCCTGCCTCAGCCTCTCAAGTAGCTGGGATTATAACAGTTACTTTTCAAAAGGAGAAACAGGCACAGTTAGGTAATTGGCTCAGTATCACACAGCAAGTCATCAGCAGAGCCAAGATCATTGCCTCGTGTGTCTGCTAAGCAACGCACAGGGCAGAAGAACAGGCAGGTCACTATCTTGGTCTCAGAGCAGTTCTGTTCCTAAAAGAGAAGGCCTTGCAGCCCGAGCCCTGAGATAAACAGATGATTTTCTCTTACATATCCTTACCTGGGACTTCTCCGGACACTTCTTTTGCACATGATCAGGCATCTGCTGGTCTTGGTTGCGCTCGTGTTTGGTGTGTGCTTTTGAACAGCATGGGCACACACACACACACACACACACACACACACATCTGCTATATTAACACATCCTTTTGCCCTCCTATGCTGTGGCCTGTCTGGTCTATTCCCCAGTCCCCTGTGAGGCAGAGAATCGCATCATATTGGTCTATGATTTGGGGGTTTCAGGGTTGACTCCAATGAGCTGAGTGAGGCAATTTGCCTCCTGAGAACATTAATCCAAGCAGCAAGTTATTGAGTTTGAAGATGTACACATATAATTCACATCTCCGTAATCATAACATGCTGTCTGAATAGGCTTCCGGTGATGGATCGCATCTTAGCCACACCATCTGCCGGGTCAGATGGAGACCTCTCCGTGAGCAGAGCTGGTAGAACACAGGCAAGGCCCCCGGGCCGAGTTTTACGATAAACACCTGATGACACATGTGGGAACACAGCACGCTGAAAACTGCCCTTGCTTGTGTGGATCTCACAGTTTTGAATGCTCCTCTCTCTGCAAAGAAAGTAGCATTGTGATCTTCATCTTGCAGGGCAGAAAACAGATGGACAGAGAAGTAGGGTGACTTGTGCGAAGAGGCACAGTGGACAGCACTTGATTCTGTGGCGTGGGGGGGGGCAGGCTGATCCTGTAGAGGTGCCCTGGGCAAGGAGCTGAGGACGGTGAGTGTCAGAAGCATGCACAGGCAGAGAATGCACATGGCTTTAATGTACGCTGCATGTGACATACTGTCCCCAGGTGGCTGGCTGCAAGGAGCAAGGACAGAGCAGTACCATAGTCCTGGAACCAGGGAAACTGAGGACAGTTCTCCAGGCCCTGCATGTCCCCAATGCCTTGCTCTCACTGCTTTCATGACCATCACCACCATCAGAAAGCAAGGGAAGTTTTACTTGGGCCAGGACCTTATCAATCACCCAGTCCGACCTGCGCTTTGCCAAGTGGCAAACCCAAGGCCTGCTAAGGGAAGCAAGCCTGCAGCACAGTTAGGACATGGGGAGGGCTCTGCCTCAGCAGCCAGGGCTCACTCTACCTTGCCTGACTCTAGCTTGCCTGTAGGCTGCTCTGGGGAGGGAAGGACAGTGAGTGGCCTGGTGCACTGAACCGTGAACAGGGACCTCGCTGTCCTCAGATGGCCCAAGCCTTGGGGATCAAGGTAGCAGAGGTGAGCAGGTACACAGGGCTGGCGGAGTGGCTGGCTATCGGAGAAGCACCTGTCCGCTTTCCTTAGGAACAAGCTCCTTTGTTTACTGACGCCCTTTACAATACGCCGATGCTGTTCGGAACAGTGCAGGTGACAAGGAGGTGGTAAGGAGGGAGAAGCATGCCCCTCCTGTCCCCATGACGCACACAGGCTTAAATTAAAGAGCAGCGGAGGGCGCTGCTCCTGCAGGATCCTAATGGGCCAAGACCACATCCCGAGAGCTGCTTAGATATCAGAAGTGCTGCCTCAGGGTTCTTGTTTTCTTCAGTTGTGCCATAAAAATAAAGCAAGCAGCAGAGGGTGATGAAATTCCTCCCCGCTGTGACCCACTGAAGCTCTGCATTTATCCCCCCAGAAGAGTTCACATCAGAGGTCCAGAGTGGTCCAGAATGGTCGAAGCCAAAGTGGCCAATGATCTTTTGACCCCATTGTCCTATGATGGGGAAACTGAGGCACGTAAGGGGAGGGGCTTGCCTAGGGCTGACCACTGATGGACTGGGCTATGCCTCTTGTACTTGTGCCCCATCTGTCCCCTCCCTCTCAGGTTTTCAGGGTCCTTTTCTATAAAATATCAGGGGTGGGAGCTCGGTGACATCCGGGGCCCTCCTCTGCGGCACTAGCTCTCTGTGGTGTTCTCATCAAAGGCATTAACCTCCTCTCAGTTCTCAAGGTTGCTGCCGGCCTATTTATAGAACTGACCAAGAGGATTCTACTATTGCGGGTGATAAAGAATACAAATGATGCGCTGAGCATCCTGTTTTATTCTTCCGCTACTTTCTTTCTTAACTCTTTGGGCAATGCTTTTCTACAGCGTGCTGTCTTTTCCCCATGGAGACGTGCTGGGGAAGGGGAGAGTGGGCTCTGCCATCTGCCATGTGCCTACTGTGTGCAGGCTATGGATTTCATGCTTTGCCTTATTTCATCCGTGACATGACATCCTGCCGGGCAGGTGTCCTTCTCCGCATTTCCCACGTGCTGCTCTGAGGGGCAAGGAGCCAGCTAAAGGCTCCCAGCTAACATGTTGAAGTATGGCTGAACTCCCCTCTGCCCTCCTGCCAATCCACACATGTGCTGTCTGCCTGCGCTTGTCCCTGTCCCTGACTCCAGCACAGCCTTCCAGAGTAGACATGCTGCGGGGTGATGTACACAGAGCTGTGATTCTTTGGGTGATATTATTTACTTTTTTACCTAATCAGGCTAGACTTTTCTCAGGACCTACGGTGAGACAATTGAAGTGTTGTCTCTCACCAGGTACAAATATCGTGGGGCCCATACTGTGTGCTGGCCAATACCTTGTCTCTGTCACCAGGACCTACTGTGCGCCTGGTGATGCCTGGTCCTTCATCAGGCATAAGTGTCATGAGGTCCTACTGAATGCCAAGTGATGCCTTTTCTCATACATGCTGTATGTTATGAGGACCTACTGTGCACCTCACAATGCCTTGTGTTGTTGCACACAAGTATTATGAGGACCTATTGTGATGGTGATGCTTTATCCCTCACTAGGCTCCCTACTTGGTTCCCTCCAGGCCTGGTACACAGTCAGCCTTTTTTGGCAGGATTCAATCTCATGATGTGCCAAGGAAGGAGCAAAGGGGCCAGGCCACTTGGAATGGCATCAGAGCTGGAAGTCATGCCCCCCTGGAAATGGGAGCAGTAGGCAGGGAAGAGGGGAAGACATGAGGGAAGCATGGAGGACTGCTGGTCTCAGGCTCCATTCTGTTGTGGCAGAAGCAAACCGGGTCTTCTGCTCCTCTATCCCACAGGTCCAACTTAATGGAGATTTGATTTTCCCTGTTGTTCTGTCATGGAGTCCTGGGGATGCTCAGCAATCACTGTAAACTCTCCTTTGCCCATCTTCTCAAGCATCTCTTCTAAAAAGCAGAAGTTTGAAGAGCTGCTCTCTCGTTATCCCTGTACCAGGGACTGGCACTCAGCTGTGGGTGGAGGCCCAGTGCCTCCTGGTTCTCTGTCCTCTTCTTGGGGAGCCAAGCGTAGCAGATCAGGGCGAGCTTGTGGGAGCCAGAGCACACAATGTCCCTCTCCTTCTTTTTAGGCATTTTGCTTTTTTCTGATATTGACAGCCTTGTACCCTCATAGTGGAATATTTGGAAAATACTGAGAAACAGGGCTGACATAACAAAATACCATAGGTGTGGTGGCTTAAACAACAGACATGTATTCTCTTACATTTCTGGAGGCTGGCAGTCTGAAATCAGGTTGCCAGTGTGGCCGGGTCCACTTTGGGGGCTTGCAAATGGCCACCTTCTTCTTGAGGCCTCACATAGACAAAAGAGAGGGACCTCTGTGTGTCCTCTCCTCGCTGTCTCTGTCTTCTCTCTCCCCACTTTCTCCTTTTTCTCTCTTCCCACCTCTTCTTCCTCCACCCAAAGCCACTAATCTCATCACAAAGTCTCCACACTCATGGCCTCATCCAACTCCCATCAAGAAGCCCCGTCACCACAATGCCATCCTGTTGGGGGTAGTAGGGCTTCAGTGTGTGAATCTGGACATGCACACATTCAGTCCTTAACAGGGGGTATACTGGCTATTAATCTAGTGCTTGAATAGACAGTGACCGGTGCATTGTGGGAAAGTGACAGGTGCATTGTGGGATAGCAACATGGCAGATCTCAGCTTCTACTTCAGGGCGTAGAGTTTGAGCTTACCATTCTATGTGGCTGTTCCATCTCCAGACTGGAAAATGTACAACAAAGGTGGTGACTGCTCTGGAAAATAGTAGCTATGGGTAACATTTATTATACAGAAATGCAACAAAGCAAAATGAACACTGGGAATAGCCACACTGGTAAAGTCCAGAGGAAGTCTGAGCTTCCAAGGGTCCTCTCTGGGTGAGTCACACAGGGTACATTTAATTCCTCCAGCATGAAATTGTGATAACATCTGGGAAATACTGTCTACCTACGAAACTCTTTAGAAATCACTCAAGGTTTTACTGGGAAGTGGTTATGTAGGCTTGTACCCACCTTCCAGACCCCCAGGAGTATCTTAGGTCTTCAACATGAACCCTACTGTCTACATAGTGAGCAATGGCTTCTGGTGGGGACACAACAAGTCCATGTTCCCAGACACCACCCAGAGGCCAGCCTTGCAAGGAGACCTTTCTAGAGAAAGCAGCTGCAGGCCAGCTAGGTTAACCCTCATCTGCACATGTATCTTTAGACATCATATTTCTTGTGTTCTGACCACTTTAAGATAAGGGTGGAACATAGGGTCCCCTTTCTGTAGGCCAAAACTAAGGACTAGGGAAGAAAAGGAGGACTTGGGGGTGGGGCTCCTTCTCCTGGGGTTGGGGGGTCTTGAGAGGAAATGAGGTTTCTGTAAGGCAAGACGAAAGTGCCCCCCCTTCTCTCTAACTCTGTGTCACCCTCTCTCTAGGTTCTGAAGGGCTCCAAGAAGCTGGTGCTGTCTGTATACTCAGCTGGGCGCATCCCTGGGGGCTATGTCACCAACCACATCTACACCTGGGTGGACCCGCAGGGCCGCAGCATCTCTCCACCCTCTGGCCTGCCCCAGCCCCATGGCAGCGCCCTGAGACAGCACGAGGGTGACCGGAGGAGTGGCCTACACCTCCTGCAAGGCGGGGATGAGAAAAAGGTGAGCTTCCGGCTGCAGAGGCCGAGGGCTGGTGGGGCGGGGGAGACACCCTAGGTCCCACGCTCCTTCCCAGCCAGACAGAGAAGCTCCATGGAGGATGGGGGAGGGGACTTGGCCCTGCCAGGGTGCCGTGTCCTGTCTTCAAGTCCCTTCTCAAGGATCCTGTTTTCTGACGCTGTGCATGTGTTCAGCACAATAAACAGCCCAGGGTTTCAGTGAGACTGATTCAGTGAGCATCTTCCTTCCGCAGCAGGAGAGAGGGGCTGTGTAGACTGACGGGACAACACTGCCCCAGGACTTACTCTGGGATCCAGAGTCCTTCCATCCCCCAGCCCTAAGGAGAGGCCCCCTTTCACTGTGAAGGCTGGGCCATACCAGGTCCCTGATCTAGCCACCAGGAAAGGAGAAAGACAAAGCTTGGGATATGGCTTTCAATTAGAAGTGACACCACTTCTCATGGGTCCAGGCCCAGGTTCATGGTCTGGTAGGTGCTAGGACTGTGCTCCCTGGAGAACTTTTGGCTGTGTGGGTGCTGGGTTCTAAGACCAAAAGCAGACCTTGGCCAACTTCTACCGAGTAGGAACAGGTTGGAAGGGTGTGGGAAGTCCCAGGATAAGCCTAGGAAATTCAGGGTGCTGCTGATCTGTCCCCCTATCCTTCCCCTCCAGATGCCTACTCCAGGGAGGGAGCACTGGATTGGCTGGGAGATGCTGGGCACTGTGATTGACAGAACAACCACGAGTCCAGCTGGTGAGGGAGGGGTCACTGTCCAACAGTAATTGGCGCTACGGTAATTGGTAACCTGAAGAAGCAGGCAGGGGTATCAATCAGTGTCCCCCTACAGAGCTCTCCTCCCCCTAGAAGTGGACTGTTTCCGCTGACCTGGGCCCCCTCATGTCTTCACCTTCTCTCTGGGCCCTGTTTACATGGCGCAGGGGTGGGGGGAGTGGGGGTTCCCTAAGACCAAGAGCAGCCTCCTGCCAGCTGCTCTCTGCTGCTTCAAGTCCTTGATCCCGACAGCAGCCAGGATCCAGGCACGCGGCTTGGGGTTCCAAGCCAAGCATTTTCCCCCTGGAGACTCTTTCCCAGCTCTCCTGTTCCTGTCGATAAGCCCGTGGCATTTATTCAACGTGGTTTGCGTTCGCTGCTCAGACTTCAATATGCGAGGCACGTGGAGAGCACCGCGGGGAGGTGGGGGTGGTGGCTGAGGCAGCTAGTTGGTATGCAGGTGGCTGCAGCCTGGGCATCGTTGGCAGAGTTACGGGGCTGGGGGCCCTGGTGCCTTCCCCTCCGGCAAGCTCACTCTGGCCCTCTCCGGAGAGTGCCTCTGGGGCCGGGTCAAGTTCAAGGCCAGCCTTGCAGTGGCTGGCAGAGAACAGACTACATCATTTCCCCCAGCCCCTTTCCTGTGCAGGGCAGGAGCTTAGAGTAGTAATCACCCTTGACAGAGAACTCCCAGAGGGCTGAACTCCAGGCTCAGGGCACCTACCCGAGTCCTATATGTCGCCCCCACCATCGTAAGGATGAGGAATCCAAGTTTGGCACTACGGTAATTAGGAACCACTCAGAAAGTCACCCAGTATTCACCAAGCACCTGTGGTGTGTCTGATGATGTCACAGGAGGAGGGGACAAAGCACCAGACAGTGGCAGGGCTCTGGTCTGGAGAAACATTCAGGGAGGTGGAGGTTGCAGGGAGGGAGACACTAATCCAGCAAGGAGCAAGATAAGTAAGACCTGTGTCTCAGTCTGCATTCTGTTGCTACAACAAAACACCAGTGACTGGGTAATTTAGAAAGAACAGGAGTTCACATGGCTGTCAGATCTGGAGGCTGGGAAGGCCAAGAGCGTGGTGCTCCCATCTGGTGAGGGCTTTTCCTGCCACTCCACAGCCTGTCAGAGGACATCATGTGGAGGGATGGAGCCAGAGTGCCAGCTTGGACCTCTCTTCCTCTTCTTACAAAGCCATCAGTGCCACCATGGGGCGCCACTTGTGACCACATCTAAGCCTAATCACCTCCGAAGCCCTTCCTTCTTAATGTCATTAATAGAAGGCTTTGGGAACATGTGCAGCATGGAGAACACATTCAAATCCTAGCCATGGTGAAAACTGATGGGAAGAAATCAAATCAGGAGGGGTAGGGAGTGACAGAGAGGAAGGCACTGCCTCAGTGAGGTGGTCAGGGAGGGCTTTACAGAGATGATTTGTGAGCTGAGACTTACAGAGAAGGAGCCACTGAGTACCATCTTGGGGGCTAGGGAGCCCAGGCAGCAAGGAGAGTATGCACAAAGGCCCTGAGGTAGGACTGAGCTCAGTGTCTTCAAGGGCATTGTTGCTAGGACTGAGTACGTGGGAGGATGGAAAGTAGATAAAGGTGACTCCTGGGCATCTTGGAGTAACTTAAATAAAAATGCACAAGGCAGAGGCTGAGTGAATTGTGCTCCAAGGGGAACCCAGACACCAAAGGAGGCAGGAAATACCCCAGACAACAGCAGAGAGGGAGTCATCACTAACTTCCCAGCTGAGTTTTGTTGTGGGGGTGGAATGGAAGGGTGGCACTGTTGCACAGATGGTTCGAACCTGGGTTCTGCCACCTTCCAGCTGTGTGACCTTGGACAACTTGTGTTACCTCTCTGAGCCTCCTCTGTGAAGTGGACAAAACAGTAGGCCTACTCTGCCTGCCCTTGTGTAAGCTCTGCGGTGGTGAGGATCTTAGCTGTGAGCCCTGGTACATCCTCAATGCCTGGAACAGCAAATGCTCAGTAAATATGCACTGCATGAATGACTGAATTAAAGAGAAATCACCTTGCCTAGGCCTGGAACATAGTAGAGGCTCAATCAACGTTCATAGTGTCTGAGTCTAGGTCTTGTTTGATCCAACCCACGTCCACACTGCTTTCTGCAGAGCCGTAGAGCAGAGTGTAGCCATCTGCTTCCCGTGCTGGTATTTTGTGTTGTGGCCTCTGCTCTTTGTGTTGCTGGTTTTCCCTAGGGGTCCCCAGCCCACCTGTCTAGGGAAGGAAAGGTGCTTCCTCATCTCTGCCACTTCCACCTCACCCACGGGAAGGGTGACACTCCTCTCAGGCTGGCAGGTCTCCAGGCCTCAGATTTTGGGGTCAGCTGGGTGGAAGAAAAATTTCCTGTTGCTCTGCAGCCCACCATGCCTTCCTGTCTTAAAAAGTTTGAGAAATTATATGGGGGAAGGGTGGTAGATTCAAGCATTTCTGAGGTTGTTGTTGCTTTCTGTTTAATTATGCCACAATACATATTAGCATCTGTATTAGTCAGCTTCCCCATCACTGACTAATCCCAGGTACCCACAAGTTAAAAGAGGAGAGATTTTATTTAGCTCATGGTTTGGGGAGATTCAGTCCATGGTTAGCAGGCTTCAAGGCAGAATTGGCCCAGTGGAAGGGTGTGGTGCAGGAAAGCTGCTCAACCCATAGCAGTCAGGAAAGATGAGAGGAGCCAGGGACAAGATGAATCCACTGCTGAGTACAGCACCCCAAGGTCCAATGAGCTTTCAAGTGTCTCACCTCCAAACACATGGGACTTCCAGGGGACACTCTGGGTATAACCAAAGCATCAACTTAACTATTTTTCAAGTCTACACTTGAGTATTGTTACATTCATGGATTGCTCTACAGCCAATCTCCAGAACTCTTTTCATCCTGGAAAACCAACACCCGTTAAATAATGATCCTCATTCCCCAGCACTATTGTGTTAGTCAGCTTTCTGTTGCTGTGACAAAATACCCAGGATACGTCCATTTAAAGCTCCTGAGAGCTCTTGAGGAGTTAAGTCAGAAGGTGATTTTCTATTTATAAGGGCTGCAAGTGTGAGCCATTCAGTCCCAGGGCAGAAATCTCAAAAAGCATTTGGATGATGACCAGGTGGAATAGATATCTTGTAAAATGGCAAAAAAAAAAAAAAAAAAAAAGAAAGAAAGTTTTTTTAGTTCACAGTTTCAGGAGTTTCAGTCAGAGTTGTTCGGGTCCTGTCACTTTGGGCCTATGGCAAGTTTGAACTTCATGCCAGGGAGTGAAGCTGCTCATGTCCTGGTAGTCAGGAAGCAGAGAGAAAGGGAGAGAGAGGAGGAGCCAGGGTCCAACCACCCCCTTCAAGAGCATGGTACCAGTGTCCTAACTTCCTTTTTTTACTTCCCACTTCCTAAAGCTTCCACTGTAACTGGGGACTATGCCTGCAGCACATGAGGTTTGGAGACAGCTCAGATCTAAACTACATCATCATTCTGCTTTCTTTCTGTCTATGTGAGTTTGACCCCCTAGGTACCCCAGATGAGTGGATTTCCCCTCTGTGCCCAGCTGATTTCACTAAGCAATCACACTGAGGTTCATCCGTGTGGTAGCCTGTGCCAGAATTGCCTTCCTTTTTAAGGCTGAGCACTATTCCTTTGTAGATCACCTCAGTCTCTGAGGGCTTCTTGGACAGAATACCATCACCAGGGTGGTCGTAAGAAACAGAAACTGATTTCTGTCTGTGTGGGAGGCTGGGAAGCAGGCAGACTCTGTGAAGGTCGTTTCCTGGTTCGGGGATGGCCGTCTTCCCACTGTGTCCTCGTGTGACGGAAGGAGAGGGCACTTTCCTGGGCCTCTTTGGGAAGGACGCTATCCCCACTCATGGGGACTCCACCTTCCTGACCTAGTCACCTCCCAGAACCCCACCCCAAATGCCACTACCTTGGGGATTAGGCTTCAGTTGGTGAACTGGGCGGTCACAGACCTTTGGAGGCAGAAGTATTGGCCACATTTGTTGTTGCGTTCGTCTGTCAGTGGGCATTGAGTTGTCTCCACCTTCAGTTTCTTGTGAACAGTGCTGCTGCGAGCTTGGGTGGATAAATGCATCTCGGAGACTCTGCTCTCGGTTCTTTAGGGGATTCACCTAGAAGTGGCCTGCTGAATCACAGGGTGACCCTCCTTTTAACTTTGTGGAGCCACCAGCAGCTGTGCCGTGTTACTGTCCTGTGTCCCGTGCATGGG